GTTTGTATCGAGGAAGAATAAACTGGTTTAATAAAGAAATGACTTGTATCGCTGAAGATTCTCGGAATAAATTTCTACCGGAAACAAACAAACAAGCAGATACTTAACAGAGCAAAAACATTTCCCTTGCCTGAAAATCTATTTCAGATAGATACTCACCTCTGTACACAACAAAGAGTTTTCACCTCGCGGCGCCACTGCCGTAAAGACTTTGTGCACTCAACAAGCTTTCAATGAAGCTCTTACCCTCACATGTAGCGTTCGTGGAATTACTGTGGAGATGACTGAGAATGAAGGATGTGTTGCCCTCCTACTGGTGGAGGGTTATAGCCTAATAATGATTGTATCATAGGCTGGTGCAATGCAAATTAATACATGTAGGGGTGAGAGTTTCGTTCAAGACAGTGGTGTGAGGTAATAGCTCGTTGTGCAGAGATAGGTATACATTTCTGAAGTCAGAATATAGGAGTGTAATAGGCATACAAGACTCTGTACTACCAATCTATGTGCATCAGAGAAAAACATAAAATAAAGTGGTATAGTGCTAATATATATATACACACACAAAGCACAAAAATGTGTGTCTGCCTCTCTGTCCATTATCTACCTGCTTCTATATCGCTGGGCCAATCTCAATCAAACTTTGTGGGGTGATACATTAGAACAAGGGGCATGTTACAGGGGAGGGTTGTGAACCAATTATTACTGTTATTGTTTTAATGCATTTATTGTCTTTAGCGAAAGTTTACGTTAACTAAATTCATAGATGGCGCCACTTCCTAATACCAAAAAATAAAATAGTTATTAAATTTTCTATAACACACAAACAGTTTGTGGGGGGGGGGGCACATAAATGTCTTGTATATATCTCAAAGAGTGAGCTAGCACTCTCTAATGGAGGAATACAATTAAAAACGATGGCCACCACTATTGCAATAATACATAAACTCAGATGATATTTCTACGCCAACAGCCACCATAAAGCTGACATGAATAGTTCTTTGAGTTATACCCACTTCCTACTTGAACCTGTGACCTTACAGCTTCGGCCAATGACCATCAATTAATTAATAACGTGAAACAGTGTGGAAAGACATTAGAAGCTAGGTGTTGAAAGCGGGTAACAGAAAGCACTCCTACTTTTTCCGATATCTCTTCCTACAAAGTCACCCTGACCATCGCACAGTGTATACCATATTTTGAGTATATACATAGAGAGTCGACAGGAATCATATTTTATATGTACTTAAGAATTTGATCTTCTAAACAAAAATGTGTGCAGTAGCCAATAGAATTTTCAACTTTACACTCAAATCCAAAGCGAAATAGTTACAGCTCACAACAATTTAAAAGAAAACAATTTACCAGTTGGTCTGTACTTTAAGTTATACCAAATAGTTCATAACATATTGAAAGAGAATGGAAGTACATTAAACTTAAGTTAATTTTGTCTTAGGTTTGATAGATTGAATTGAACACAACAATTATTTAAAAATTATACTTCCCCAGTCTCATTGTATTGTGTGCCATTAAACATTGGTTTTCTTTTCACATCCGTTATTTAAAATTTACATAAGTATCGTTTCCACCTTAGTAAGAAATTTGAAATTTTCACAAATGATGAAAATAAATAAAATAGCTCATTTTTTCGTAACTTTTATCAAACAGAAGCTATATTTGTTTCTCGGCGAGTTATCAACTATTTATTTGGACATTGCAAAACACATTACATATTCTTTCTGTACGGTATTTACTGTAAAATGAATGGTAATATATAAAAAGAGAAAGAACGAAGAAACTATGGATCTCTACTTACATGCACGTGTAGTCAGATTTGACGAGCAAGGCACGACCTTCGTCTTTCCTCTACATACATAACTCTTGAACACTGTACCGAATTACACTTGCAGACACTTCATTCAAAACTACAGTGAATTCATTAATAGATAAAAATTACCATTAAAGTAAGTTTCACCATAGACACATACATATTTTTTATTTTGCACGTCTAACGAATCCTTTCACTTCAATATGGTTAATGGTACGTGAAATCGATAATACTACATTAATACAGAAGAAACTATATCAGATACGTAAACGCACTAACCCTAAAAGCCAGCCAAACAGTGATAGTCATGTCAAGTGTATACTTTCGCTTGGGTTCAGTTCCGAAAATGACACCAAGTGTGACGTCAGGAATCCAGAGGTCACAGAGACATGTTGAAACTCCAATATGTTTATGTTCATGATATTCTAACATAAATAAAACATTTGTTAAATAACCATTGGATAAATGTGAGTTTTTTACATACGTTTATATTTAATTAGAGTGTGTATGTTATTTATTTTATCTATCATTCACACAGTCTTATGTAAATTTTCAGGGGCAGTTTCAACTGGAATCTTATGACGCCATCTGGAAGAAAAACTACCCATATAATTTTGCAACATCAAAACCACCGATTATTATCTAATAAAACTGTAATCTTTGCATAAAATTGAAAGTAATAATAAGGATTGCTTTGTTAAAGTATATTTAATGATTTGTTGTTTACTTTTAGATGTAGAATTTATTGAAAATACACTACTAGCGAAGCGATAAGATGTTTAGTATTAAGATTACATTTTAATTTTCTTCCTTATTATATTAACCCCCAGTGGCACAGCGGTATGTCTGCAGACCTAGAAATCGGGTTTCGATACCCGTGGTAGGTAGAGCACCGATGACCCATTCTGTAGCTTTGTGCTAAACTTTAAACAAACAATTATTATAGTTGACAAAATTCAATTATTTATATGAAACGATTAATGAAAGAATAATTTACCACTCCACACGATTTATCTGGAAATTTCTAACATAAAAATGGTTATCTTAGTTACAAAAGTTCAACTTAACCGGTTATTTATATTATGTAATCTTTTAAAGCTGATGAAGGTTGAAGTTTTTCCTTGATAAACTCTTTTAGATTAAATATGGGAAATAAAAACTTAGAAAATGTATTATCTCAGAGTCAAGTCGCAAATAATTATGTATTATGTCTTCAAATACAAACAAAAAACATAGGGTTCGACTGTGTTTTGTTCTTCTTAAGTTTTTGGACGAGAAAAAATTTTGAAACTGAATATATTATTATCTTAATACTTGTTGTACAACAAAGTACAAAACATGTTAATTTTATACCACAAGTAATTTTTCAAGTTAATATTGTAGAATATCTCGTGTACTTATATTCGCTTAATTAAACTATGACGCACTATAGTGACGTATTTAAAATGAATAATAATATTGTACACCTTACTGTTTGTACCAAAGTCAGTACTACAGTAAATTAATGACTGGAGTAACTGTACTGTTACGTCTCTGTTTGTTAATTAACTTTCCGTAACTTCGTTCCGACGAAACTTTAGCGACACGAGTTCTTTACTTAATAAAACTGGTTTATTCTTTCCGAATACAACTTTACCGATACACTCAATTTCAACAATCGCGCT